TCCTCCTCCTCCTCCACCTCTTCCTCCTCCTCCTTCTCCTTCTCCTCCTCCTCCTCCTCCTCTTCCCCTTCTTTGTGGGCTTGAATTTGGGATTTGAATTCACGAATTTGCAGTTCCAAGGCAGGCACTCTACTACTTGAGTCATGCCTCCCACACCCATTTTTGCTTTTGATTGTTTTTTGAATAGGGTCTCATTTATGTCCTGGCTAGTCTAAGGTCCTCCTATTTATGCTTCCTGAGTAGCTGGGATGACTGGATGTGTCACCACACCCAGATATTTTATTGGTTGAGCTCTGACTCCTGAGTATCTAAGATTATATGAGCCACCATGCCTGGCTTGATTCTTCTTTTGTTTTAGTTTTCTTTTTTTGTGTGTGTGTATTATGATCTCCCACTATGAGTAGTTCTTTCTTTCTTTCTTTCTCTTTCTTTCACTCTCTTTCTCTCCTTCCTTCCTTCCCTCCCTCCTTCCCTCCCTCCCTCCCTTCCTCCCTCTTTCTGTCCTTCCTTCCTTCCTTCCTTCCTTCCTTCCTTCCTTCCTTCCTTCCTTCCTTCCTCCCTCCCTCCCTCCCTCCCTCCCTTTCCCCATCTCTCTTTCTCCCTTTCTCTCTCTTTCTTTCTTTCTCTTTCTTTCTTTCTTTCTTTCTCTTTCTTTCTTTCTTTCTTTCTTTCTTTCTTTCTTTCTTTCTTTCTTTCTTTCTTTCTTTCTTTTCCATTTCTTCTTGAAATCCTGCCCTTTTTACTACATACATTTTGAGGCTGCGTTTCTCTTTAGAGCCATGAAGGTGGAAGAGGAAAAGGCTGGGGTAAGAAAGCTGGACCCCACAAGCTACAAAAGAAGACATCCAGTTCAAGGTAAAGACATTTTGAACACTTGATGCAAATCCCAGGAAAGTTTGAGAATTGGTTGGTGTTTTTATAGCAGCACTTCCAGCTGGAGGTCCTGGAGAGCTGGTCTCTTTCCTTGACTTACCACGTGGACTTCTTCAAACTGAGGGGGCCTGCCTTTTACTGTGTCTTAAAGGGACCGTGTCACTGGGTAGGAGACATGAAACTGGCACTTTGCCAAGATTATAGGTTTCCTAACACAAATTCACATGATTTTTACCAATTTGCAAACCATGATTAATGTCAAATAGCAACATTTAGTAGATTTTGAAAATGGCAGCACAGTTAAAACAAGTGCAATTTCTGTTAGTACAGAAATTTTGACTCTGAGCTCTTCTGTACAGATGGACCCCTCATTTAACAATGGTTTGACTTGATTTTTTTTTTCAGTTTTATGATGATTTGAAACCAGAGGTAGGTAGTACCTATCTACCTTTGATCTTGCTGGGTGCCAGTGGCTAATGCCTGTATGCCTAGCTACTCAGGAGGCTGAGATCCGAGGATTGCGATACAAAGCCAGCCTGGGTAGGAAAGTACGTGAGACTCATCTCCAATTAACCACTGAAAACCAGAAGTGGCACTGTGGCTCAAGTGGTAGAGTGCTAGCCTTGAGCTGAAGAGCTGAGAGACAGTGCCCAGGCCCAGAGTTCAAGCCCCACTACTGACCAAAAAAAGAATTAAAAAAAAAATCTTTGCTTGGGCTAGCTGGGCTGTTGGAGCTCACTACAGCTCACTACAGAGGGTTTCTACAAGGGGAACTCCCTGATATGCTCCAAGGTGCTGTGTGGCTAGCTAAGATACTTCAAGCTTAGGTGCTTTAAGTGCATTTTCAACCTAGGATGTTTTCAATTTCTGAGTAATTAATCCGGGACATAACCCATTGTAAATTGGGAAGCATCTGTACTCTACAGAGAAGCAGCCACAAGGCTGCTCTTCTAAAGAAGAGGCGATCTGTTGGCCTGCTAACCTAGCATTACCATAGCCCCACTTGAAAGAAGTACTGATCTTATTGCCCAGCAGATGCTTGTTGAACTGAGGAATGTGTAGGGGCTGTTGATGGATCAAGAGGAATGAAGTGAGGAGTTTCTAGAAGAGCTTGGCATGAGACCTGAGCCAAACTCTCCTGATGCTGCCAGAGAGGAGAGGATATGTAGAGAGTTTGGACTTGAGGTGAGGTCAAGCCTTTCTCCACAGTTCACCAGCTGAATAATCATGCACTAATGATTATGACAGGAGCCAGGAACAGATAAGGTTATATTTGGGACTGAAAATAAAATATTTCCTTGAGAGCTATTACTGGTGTCCTTCCTTCCTTCCTTCCTTTCTTTCTTTTTTTGGGTCCTGTCAGCTCTTCAGCTCAAGGCTAGCGCTCTACCACTTGAGCCACAGCACCACTTCCGGCTTTTTTCTTTTTGCTTATGTGATGCTGAGGAATCGAACCCAGGGCCTCATGCATGCAAGGCAAGCGCTCTACCACTGAGCCACCTTCCCAGCCCCTCTTTCCTATTTTTTTTTGCCAGTCCTGGGGCTTGAACTCAGGACTGGGAACTGTCTCTGAGCTTCCTTTGCTCAAGGCTATCACTCTACCACTTGAGCTACAGCACCACTTCCAGCTTTTTCTAGCACCAAGCCACATTCCCAGCCCTCTTGTGTTTTAATAAGCATATTTTCATATGTATCATCCCATGATTACAATTTTCATAATTATGTCCAAACATGATCCATTTTATTTCTTTTTGGTGCCAGTCTTGGGGCTTGAACTTAGAGCCTGTGTCCTGTCCTTGAATTTATTTTTTGCTCAAGGCTAGTGCTTTACCACTTGAGCAACTGCTCCATCTCCGGCTTTCTGGCAGTTAATTGGAGATAAGATTCTCATGGACTTTTCTTCCAGAGCTGGCTTTGAATTGTGATCCTCAGATCTCAGCCTTAAGAGTAGCTAGGATTACAGGCATTAGCTACTGATACCCTGCTTCTCATGAGCCTATTCTGTCTTCTCAAAAACCTTGCCAATCAGTAGAAAAAAGATTTTCATTTTCATGTTACAGACAAGGACACTGAGAAACAGGATGCCTGTGGCCACAGAGCAAGTATAGAGCAAGCGAGAGAGCACCCGGGTAGCTGTGTCTTGGTGGTAGAGGCTTTTCTGATGTATCTGATGCTTCTCATTCAGTTTCTGTCTCATGGGAGAAAATAGGGTAGGGAACTTGACATTAAAACATCCAAGTATGCTAAGTAGAGTGGAACTACTTACTTCTAAATGCTTCTTCCCAAGTCTTTACCTAGAATTATAGACTGATTAAGAAATGTAGTATAGGATCTAGGGGTATAATTCAGTAGTAAAATGCCTGATTAGCATGAGCAAGGCCATGGGTTCAGCTACCAATGCAACAACAAGAACAACAATAACAGCCACAATCAAAAGTGTGGGAAGGGAAATCACATTATAGTTGAAAGGAAAGGAAGAAGGAAGTAGGGCCAGTCATTTAGATACTATTGTAGAACTAACCAACCAACTATGACCAACAAGAGGTCCATCCAGAAATGGTTCTGGTAGAACCAGAAATATATTTTAAAAATCATAGTAACTATTCAAAATAGCTGCTAAGTCTTCCAGTTTTTACTCTGACATGTAACTTCTACCTCATAACAACAATAAAACGTTGTAAAAATCACTTTTTTCAGATGCATAAAAACTTTAGAGTGGGCTGGGAAGGTGGTTCAATGGTAGAGTGCTTGCCTTGCATGCATGAGGCCCTGGGTTTGATTTGTCAGCACCACATAAGCAGAAAAGGCCAGAAGTAGAGCTTTGATTCAGATGGTAGAGCCTTGAGCTGAAGAGCTGAGGGACAGCACACAGGCCCAGAGTTCAGGCCCCATGACTGACCAAAAAAAATTAGAGTTAAAAACTCCTAAGGACCCAGTCTAAGAAGCCCTCACATTTTCCTTAGTTTACCCCTGCTCACTGAAGGTAAGAGAAAAATATTGTTTTCCCAGAAGAAGTACAAATGTAACCTTGTTGAAATAAACCTAAGAGCATTATCCACAATGATCTACCCAATAAAGATGAGCAAAACAAACAAAAATTGCCAGACCCTATTCTAAACTTGGTGGAAGGGTAATTACACAACTCCAGCTCTCTCTGCCTTCCTATCTCACCTAAAATATGGGGTGGGGAGGGAGGAAGCACTTTTGAAAATCACAGTTTGCTAAAAGACTAGGACCTCATTATAGATTATGGAATGGCTTCCCTTACTCCCACACCTTGTTACTACTTCAAGAGAGATTCTGTATAATAACAGTGGATTATAAGTAAAACAACTGCAAAGCTCAGACTATTTTAAGGAGTTTCTAAGGAAACCTGAAAACAACAGAGGATTCAATAACCAGGACACTAAAGGAAATTGAAGCCTCTCATATTTACTAGTATAGCAGACACAGCCTAACCATTAGCCACAAAACCATAATAATACTAAATCCCTTCATTGTACCAAAATATCTTTAATATATAGTTTCTAGATATTGAGGCTCTAACTTGAATCATCTGCATGCTGGACTACTAAAGCCACTTTTCTCTTTTGAACTTTCACACTTTTGTTTATTTTCTTTTTTGAATTATCAGGTCAGGAATTTAAAGTAACTATCAGTAATTGTATGCTTAGAATGATAATGGAAAAAGTGGGTATCATGTGGACTCAGATGTGTAATATGAGCAAAGGCAAAAACTTGAAGAAAAATAAAAAATGAAATCTAAGTATCAAAAACACTATTACAGAAATGAAGAATGCCTTTGATAAGCTCATTAATAGTATAGGCATAGACCTAGAACAAACCATGTTAAGTGAGGTAAGCCAAACTCAGAGAGATAGTGCATGTGTTATCTCATATGTGGAAACTAGATCTAAAATACAACTAGACATGTTAACTTATACAGAACTCCAAGCATTCACACACAGTCAGGCTAAAAGAGAAATACCCTTGTGGGGGGAACCCAAAGGTGTAACTTCTCTGAAAATTAAAATATTATTTATCAAAATGAATTCCAGAAAATGGAAACATGAATGTTTTGTTGTTGTTGCTGGTCATTAAGAAATGTCCTCAGAAAGATGGAAAAACATATAGATCAGACACTCAGGTATACAAAGCAAGGAATAGCATTAGAAATGAAATAAACAAAGATAGCTGGGCCCTGGTGGCTTATACCTATAATCCTAGCTACTCAGGAGGCTGAGATCTGAGGATCGAGGTTAAAAGCCAACCTGGGCAGGAAAAGTCCTGAGACTCTTATCTCCATTAAACCACCAGAAAACCAGAAGTGGTGCTGTGACTCGGTGGTAGAGTGCTAGCTTTGAGCTGAAGAGCTGAGGGACAGCACCCAGGCCCAGAGTTCAAGCCCCATGACCGACAAAAAAAAAAAGAAAAAAGAAAAAAAATAAAGATAAAGTATTTTTCTTATTATTCCTATCTAATCTAATAGGTAACTATATTTTGTTTTGTTTTGTTGTCAGTTGTGGGGCTTGAGCTCAAGGTCTAGGTGCTGTCCCTGAGCTTTTGCACTGAGGGTCAGTGTTCTACCACCTTGAGCCATAGTGCCACTTCCAGTTTTCTGGGGGTTAATTGGAGATAAGAGTCTCAGGGACTTTACTGCCTGGGCTGGCTTTGAACTGTGATCCTCAGATCTCAGCTTCCTGAGTAGATAGGATCACAGACATGAGCCACCAGCATCCAGCAATAACTATATTGTTGAAGGTAATAAAGGATGTGATAACATATGGATAAGTGAGATGAAAGGAAGCAAAATTATAGGGATGAGAGAAATAGAAAACACTCTGCTATAAGGTGCATGTACTGCCCAAGAAATACTATAGTGTTATTTGAAAGTGACTTAGATTAGTATTACAGGTACATTGAAAGTTTTAGAGCAACTTGTATTCTTGTAAGTATAAGAAGTATAATTGTTTTGTTGTTATGTTGTTGCTGGTGGTTAAGAAATGTTTTCCAGAAAGATGGGAAGATATATAGATAAGACACTCAGAGGTATACAAAGCAAGGAATAGCATCAGAGAAGAAATAAACAAAGATAAAATATTATTCTTATTATTCCAATCTAATTTATGGTTCAAGTGGTAGAGTGCTACCCTTGAGCACAAAAGCTCAGGGAGAGTGCCCAGGCCCTGAGTTCAAGCCCCAAGACCAGCACAAAAAGAAAAAAACAATAGAAGTACTGCTTTCACTGAATCCAACATTTTTTTTTCTTTTTCTTTTTTGCCAGGGTTTTCTTTTTTACTGAGGCTTGAAACTCAGAACCTCATTCTTGTTCAGTTTGCCTGTTTGGTTGATGATCTACCTCTTGAGCCATCCTTCTGGCTCTGCTTTTTGCTGGTTATTTTGGAGATGAGGTTATAGACATGCGCCATCAGCTCCTCCTCTGGATTTTTTTTTTTTTGCGGGGGCGGGGTTGGTTGTGGGTCTTGAACTCTGGGCTTGGGCACTATCTTTCAGCTTTTCAGCTCAAGGCTAGCACTCTACCACTTGAGCCACAGCGCCACTTCCGGATTTTCTGGTGGTTTATTGGAGATAAGAGTCTCATGGACTTTCCTGCCTGGGCTGGCTTTGAACAGCAATCCTCAGATCTCAGCCTCCTGAGTAGCTAGGCAATGAGCCACCAGTACCTGTCCCTCCTCTGGTTTTTACTGAGCATTGTACATGATTCCATTTTCCTCTCCTGTAAGCATGTCAATTATACTTCTTCCCCCAGTTGTGGGCTTTGAACTCTGGGCCTGGGTGCTGCAGTCCCTGAGCTCTTCAGCTCAAAGCGGGCACTCTACCACTTGAGCCACAGCACTGCTTCTGGTTTTCTGGTGGCTTTCACTTTCTCATGGTTAATTGGAGATGAGTCTCAGGACTTTCCTGCCCAGACTGGCTTTGAATGATCCTCAGATCTCAGCCTCCTGAGTAGCTGGGATTATAGGTGTGAGCCACTGGTACCCAGCTTAGAGAGAATTTCTCAAAATATAATTTCATTGTTATTATTAAAGTTGTACAAGAGAGGTTACCATTTCATAGTCAGGTAATGAGTAGTACATTTCCTTTTTTGGACAATGTCATCTCTTCCTTCATTTTTCCCATTTCCCCTTCCCATCCCTGAAAGTTACATAGTTCATTTTCCACATAATATATACTAAATAGCATTTGTTCACCTTCCCTCCCTTTCTTTTTCTTTCTTTTTTTGGGGGGGGATCGGTCGTGTGGCTTGAACTCTGGGCTTGGACTCTGTCCCTCAGCTCTTTAGCTCAAGGCGAGTGCTCTACTGCTTAAGCCACAGTGCCACTTGTGATTTCTGGTGGTTAATTGGAGATAAGAGTCTCATGGACTTTCCTGCCTGGGCTGGCTTTGAACCGCGATCCTCAGATCTCAGCCTCCTGAGTAGCTAGGATTACAGGTGTAAGCCACTGGCGCCCAGCTCTCTCCCTCCCTTTCTGTACCTCTCTTTGCCCCTAAAAAACACAAAAGAAAAGCAAACACCACCACCACGACCAATAACAAAACACCTATATTTCCATTTCCTGGAATTGATATCAATAAATAATATTTTAAATTTTAGAGAAGTTACACTTTTGGGTTCCTCCCCCTACGAGTGACTGTGTGTGAATGCCTAGAGTCCTGTATGGGTTATCATGTCCAGTTATATTTTAGACCTAGCTGGGAATGTGGCTTAGTGGTAGAGTGCTTGCCTTGCATGCATGAAGCCCTGGGTTTGATTCCTCAATACCACATAAATAGAAAAAGCTGGAAGTGGCACTGTGGCTCAAGTGGTGAGTGCTAGCCTTGAGAAAAAGACGCTCAGGGACAGTGCCCAGGTCCTGAGTTCAAGTCCAGGACTGGCAAAAAAAATGTTGTTACATTATAGAGATAGTAAAAGAAGAGTATGAGGAAGGAGAAGAGAGATATATAGGTAAAACAGGAATTTTAGGATAGTGAAAATATTTTATACAATCCAGTAATGGTACATATATACATTACATATATATTTAAAACCCATTGAATTATTTATACAATAGGAAGAGTGGACCTTAATTGTATACAAAGATGATAATTAACTATGTATCAGCATTCATCTAAGGCAAGATGCTGGTAGTAGGGAAAACTGAGGGTGAAGGTGGTGGTGGTAAAGGCGGAAGTAGAAAGGAACTCTATCTTTGCTCAATTATGCTATACATTAGACCTTACAGCATAATTTTAAAATTTAAATTTTACTAATTTAAAAACTGTTGACTAACTCAATATAACACTGAACTTCAAGTCCCCAGCTGCCTCTAAATGTTGACCAGCTGGGGACTTTGTGTACTATCCAGGATTACATGGCCATCATCTTGGTGAAATTCTGTATTAGAGTTCTTGGTAACTCAAATTCTTGAAAGTTTTAGTTCACACAGCCAGTATTGAGAAGCCCTTAATAATACTTTTTCCTGGTTAAGTAGGGTTCTGGTAAATAGTACATATAGTCCTTGGTTGTTAGTAATGATGGTACTCAGTGGGCTGCATATGAATTTCCTGTAATAGCCAATGAGGGGCTTGGCATTGTGGACCAGATCTGTGACCCACTGAGGAACACATTCCTGTACCATGTGACAAAAACATCTGGCCATCAGTGCTGTGGTGAAGCAAGCAAAGATGGGGAGATGGGAGCTCTGCTGTTTCCTGAAGAATTCTAACTGTAGCACTGAGAGAATCTCTTCTAGCAACTGCAGGATTGGTTCAGAAGTAGAAATCCATCATACCCAAGCCTTGGGGCTTTGGCTTTGTGCTGATATTCTATGTCTTCCATTTTTGCTTCTGTGGCCCATCTCTTTTTTACTGGTAGATATTACAGAAATGCCAATATTTACTAACTGGGACTTCCTCTGTGCTATGTCCACAGACCGCCCTTCCATTCATATTGGACTTCCACTTTCCAGTTACTCGAAAAGAAAAGGTGACCAGAAAGGACACTCTTCAGGCCTGCAAAAAGTTCATTGGGGTCTTCAGCCAGACAAGCTACAGCAGGAATTGACTAGCCCAGGAAAAGGGACCAGCAGTCAAGGGGGCCGCATGGATCTTATCAGCAGAACTCGTGAGTGCGCAGGAAGATTGGGTGCATTTTGGGAAGCCATCCTGTTGATGGGTTCAGATAGGCAAGTCAAGGTAGGATTTGGGTAATTCTGTACCATGCTCTAGCTCTTTGATATTTGCTTTGTAATCTAAAGATGGGATAACAATATCCCCCTTGGAATGAACACTAATTGAAAAAATGTATCCTTTGTTTCAAACTGTATTTTGGAACTATCATAATTTAAACTATCATAATTTTACAAGATGTGGGTAATTCTCCACTAGGACTTTCAAATCAGTCCTCTGTTCCACTCAACTGCTGACTAACCTGCCTGCGCATTGACAGCCAAAAGCTTCTGTCTCTCTGTTAATTTGGACACCTTTGATCTGATCCATTCTGTGTAGGCTTCATGGTTTAATTCTTAGAATTATTTATCTCATTTCTAAATTCCTAGGGGCCATGTGACCATTACTCTAAGAACAAATATGAGTAGTGTGAGGTAAACCTTTCTTCCCTTGAGCTCAAAGGAATGGGCAGAATTTAGTAACCTTGAATTATAGGGACACTTTCTTCTAGGACAGCCCTCTTACCTCACCCACCATCCGCTCTCTACTCTTGAGGAAATCAGTTGTGGGCTAACTAAAAGTATTTTGCCAGGTGCTGGTGGCTCATGCCAGTAATTGTAGCTGCTTAGGAGGCTGAGATTTGAGGATCACGGTTTGAAGCTAGTCTGGGCAGGAAAGTCTGTGAGTGAAACTCTAATTTCCAATTAACCACCAAAAAGTCAGAAGTACAGCTGTGTCTCAAGTGGCAGAGCACTCACCCTAAAGCAAAAGAAGCTCAGGGATAGTGCCTAGGCCCAGAGTTCATGCCCTAGGACACACACACACACACACACACACTCTCTCTCTCTCTCTCTCTCTCTCTCACACACACACACATACACATATCACCACCACCACCAGTATTTTGCTTCTTTCTGTGAAAAGAAAATTATTGTTTTTTTTCTTTTTCTGTGCCCATCTTAGGGCCTCCTGAGTAGCTAGGATTACAGGTGTGAGCATCTGGCACCCAGATACCATGCTGTTTTAATTAGGATAGCGCTAAAATACAGTTTGAAATCAGGGATACATTTTCTCAGGTTCATTCCAACATTAAAAGGGGCATGTTGTTTTCCCATCTTCAGATTAGAAAGCAAAGATAAGAGCTAGAGCACGGTGTAACTGGTAATCTTGCAGCAGGAAAATTAAAACAGATCTTTCTATAGTACTATGTTCCTTTGTAAGGTATCAGTAGTCATTTTATGGACACAATATTGGACATGGGCTGAGAATTGCATTCTTTCAAGTAACAAAATTGCATTATGATGAACCAGATAGGTAGGGAAGGGAATAATATAGCATATTCTCTTTCCCTCTCCCTCTCCTTCTTCCTCTTCCTTTTCCTTATCATATCCTATTCCAAGGGTGAATATTATTTGGAAATTTACTTCTTAGCAGTTAAACAGGTTTGCCTCAATCAAGGTATATATAAGGAATAGAACCATGAAGAAATAGTGAGAATCAATAAGAGCAAACAAGACAAAGTTAGCCAAGACCAATTGGGGAGACCCTGGAAACTCAGCATCCTCATCTGTCAGATAAAGGATTATGTAAGGTACCCAGTTGTCTCAGCCTGCTTAGGACAGAGGGATCTCCAATAATGAGGGAAGAGAGGATTTTTGGTGTTAAACCTTGTTAGTTCCCAGAAATCTAGATATAGGAGAATCTTGATTTGAGGCTGGACCTGGGCATAGGCTTAAGACCTTATTTGAAAAATAAAAGTGGGCTAAGGGTGTGCCTCAAGTAATAGAGTACCTGCCTGCCTAGTAAGCACAAGGCCCTGAGTTTAAACCCTAGTACTACTACTACTACTGCAAAAAAAAAAAAAAATCCGGGCTCGGGTCACATGGCCAATTAACTGCTCCTGATCCAATTAACTGTGACCAGGGGCATAAGTCATGTGTTATCCAAAGATAGACTCCAGGGGGTAATCCTTGTGGGAGTTCAGGACATGACCTGGGTAGAGATTTCCAAAGCCACCTAGAACTAGAGGAATTCTCATAAGCTTAAGTGGGCAGATTTTTTTTTCCTCACAGCTTCAGAGAAAAAGATCATCATTACCCATGAAAACAGGACCTGAGACTTCCATGTCCTCTCTTGAAAACCCACTTCACAAAAACTGGCAAGAAAGACCTGACACCCTCAGGTCTATCTCTTGCACTACAGCATTCTGTGTCCTCGAGCCATGCACAGACTGTCCCCACCTTCACCGCTCTCCTCCCACACCCCTTCCACTTCTTCATTCCTGGCTTCTGTCTTGCAGCAACTATTTCCATCTGATGTGCTTATGAGTGTTGAATCAGCCAGACTCACTCACCCAGCAAATATTTATTTATTTATCTATCTATCTATCTATCTATTTATTTATTTAGTGTTGGTCGTGGGGCTTGAACTCTGGGTCTGGGCTCTGTCCCTCAGCTCTTCAGCTCCAGGCAAGCGCTCTACCACTTGAGCCACAGCTCCACTTCCAGTTTTCTGAGTGTTTTTTTGGAGATAAGAGTCTCACGGACTTGGCTGGGAAGGTGGCTCAGTGGTAGAGCGCTTGCCTTGCATGCATGAGGCCCTGGGTTCGATTCCTCAGCACCACATAAGCAAAAAAGAAAAAAAAAGCCGGAAGTGGCACTGTGGCTCAAGTGGTAGAGTGCTAGCCTTGAGCTGAAGAGCTGAGGGATAGCGCCCAGGCCCAGAGTTCAGGCCCCACGACCGGACCCAAAAAAAAAGAGTCTCACGGACTTTTCCTGCCCAGGCTGGCTTTGAACTGTGATCCTCAGGTCTCAGCCTCCTGAATAGCTAGGATTACAGGTGTGAGCTACTGGCACCCGGCTCCAGCAAATATTTATTGAGAGCCCATGTTGTGTGAACTCTGAGGGCCAGAAGTGTGGCCCTGACCTTACAAAGTTGACTGTTCAGTAACTCTACGTAAAGCCTAGGACAGAAGGGATCTCTGAAAGGACTCATCCCAGACTGGGGGCCATGAGATGCACTGACTTTATTTATGGTGACCATAAATGCCTCTTGAGTCTTTTTCTAGGACTTAAAGTCTATGCTACTTGCTGGTTTTCAGTCCACTTGCTGGTTTGTGTACTGCTCATGCAGCAATTTGTCATTCAGTAACAACACCATTCTCTGTACTTCTTTTAGTTGCTTCCTAAAGCTCACCCCTGCCAAGCTTATATTTCTCTCAGCAATGGCTGACTAAGTCCATTCCTACAGTTGCACTCATACTATATGTCTTCCACAGTTATGGAACAGGAGGGTTATTTCCTGTGGCATGTCATTATGTAGATTAGCTTGGACATGTTCAAAGCTAGCCCAGGCAGGAAAGTCCATGAGACCGAAGTAGAGCTGTGGTTCAAAGTGGTAGAGTGCTAGACTTGAATGAAAATCTCAGGGACAGCACTTAGGCCCTGAGTTCAAGCCCCATGACCAACAACAACAAAAAAGAAACTGATGCAGAAGCCCAGCCTGAGGGCAGGAAAGGAGGGGCATTGAGAGAAGAATGGCCAGAAACAGAGGGGCAGGGAGCACATGGAAGCAGCAGGATGGTTTAGAAACTGAAAAGGATTGTGATTTGCAATGTTTGGGAAGGAGCAGGCTAGTGACTAGGTAGTAAAAGAGGAGGGGGTCACACATACAGAAAATGATATTGTTATCATTTACCAGGTGACTGGTATATGCCAAGCATTGTGCCAGCACATTATCTATACTGTCTCAGTCCCTCCACAATCCAGAGAGGTGATGTGATTTTTCCTAATTTATAAGTGAAGAAACTAAGGTTCATGGATTAATGCCTCATCAAGATACCACTGCTAGTAATGACAGCATCAGGAGCTGAACCCAAGTCTGGGTTCATATAGTACATGAACAGAGTTCTGGCATCCTTGGCAATCTTTCTGTGTGAAGTTCCTCTAGCTTCTGACTTGAAGTGGCTTCCTTGCAGCACTTGGAAAGGGCTGAGCCTAGCCAGCCACAGAGTAGTGGGATCCCAGCTTTTACTGTTCACCAAAGCAGAAACTCGGACGATAACTGCTGCAGGAGTGTAGGTGGCATTGCTTAGAGCCCAGCATGGAGCCCAGCATTCAACACATGACTCTTCCTTCCTTCCTTCCTTCCTCCCTCCCTCCCTCCCTTCCTCTTTCCCTCCCTCCTTTCTTGCTTTCTTTCTCATGGGGCTTGAACTCTGGGTCTGGACACTATCCCTGAGCTCTTCACCTCAAGGCTAGCACTTTCCTGCCAGGGCTGGCTTTGAACTGCAATCCTCATATCTCAGCCTCCTGAGTAGCTAGGATTACAAGCGTGAGCCACCGGTGCCCAGCACAACACATGATCTGGATCCCCTGTTTTTGTTTCCCCATTTTTAAGTGGGCCTGCTTTAACCTCATACTTCAGGCTTGAAAATGTAGTCAGTGGAGCCAGCCACAGGCAGGGTAGAGTAGAGGATGGCTGAAGGAGCTGGCTTTTTCCAGGCTCTACTCTACTGCTGTGGGGCTCAGTTTTCTCATCTGTGAAATGAAGGTTTGGATTAAGCTCTCTCCCAGCTCTAAGATTTAGTGTATTTAAGATTTGCAGGTCCTTGGAACAGCAGCTGCTCGCTGACCTCTAGTCAACCTTGGCATATTCTAAGTCCTCAGTAAGCACTTGCTGAACCAAACCCAGGGGATTAGGAATTTCTCAGAGGAGCAAAGTAATTCCCTAGTGGGGTTCCTGAAGTAACCAGTTTCCACCATCCATGGGCTCTGGGAAAACACCCATTGAGCAGTAACGGGTGGCACTTTATCTTCCACGTGGGTGAATAGGAAGAAGACCCAGAGTTTGGGTTTAAAGTTGGGAAAGGAGAGAAACCAGCCAAAAAGGAACACTGTTGACATGGCTTTTTGTGAAATGTGAGGCCCCGCTGCAAACATTTCCCTCCAGCAATCCACTCTCAACCCAGGGGCTGGAGCTGTACCACTGAGTGAACAGGAGCCACTATCCAGCTAGCTCACCTGTGGCCAACGCTCTTAAAGAGGCCTGAGGAATCACAAGCAAACCTTAAATCCTACTGCTGCCTTTATAAAGGAGCCTGAGGAGAGGTGCCTGGGTTCTTCTGGAGCCCTCAGGTCTGGGAGGAAGGATGCAAGAAGGAGGGGGTAGAGGGCCAGCTCTGCTAGTCCTCTCACAAGTCTGAGCTGCCCTCCACCCATGCTGCTGTGGAGAATCAGCTTTTTTGCTTGAGCTTCTACTGCAGCCCTGAGCTCTTTTGTCTCCAATATCCTGAAATCTCTGCTTTCCTTCTCCTTCTACTCCATCCTCACATTACACAGACAGACAGATAGACAGACACACCCACACCCACACACCCACACACACACCACTCACAAGATCTTTAATTTATTCAATCATTTTTCTATCACACATGTTTCACAATCTTTTATGCTTACTATATCTTTATTCTCTTTACATACTGGCCCTCCCTCCATCTCCCCAGTCTCTTTCTTCTTTTACTCCTCCTTCTCTTCCTCCTCCTTCTCTCTCCACACCTCCCCCTGGCTGCTTAACTGGAAACAAAAGTGAGTTTGTTGTATGAGGAAAGGGATCTGTGGAGGCAGCAGCCAGGATAGCAGCAGCAGAAACAGGCTGGGGCCAGGAGCAGCACTGACCGCCAGAGATTCCAGCACTCAGCTATTCCAGGGAGCAGGTAATGACCAGACAGGCTGGTTCCAGCCAACTGCTCTTGCCTTGTCTCTTCTCTCTATGATCTGTCCATGTATTTGTCTTCATTCTGGCCTTAACGGGGAAGAGCATTCCAGACTTGTTGAATGGTAGGCACAGGGCCCAAGGAGGATATATTCCAAAGAACAGGATGTGGTCAAAATGGGCAGTGGCCAGAGAGGGTTGGGGTCAAGGACTACAGGTGACCAAGGTTTCTGAGTTTCAGGGCTGCTGGGTGAGAGATACACCAGAATCTAGAAAGACAGGAGCATAAGAGATGTTTTGAGCCATATTAACCACTATAGGCTTTAGGCAATGAACCACCATGGAAAAATTTTCACTTGGACAGTAATATAATCAAATCTACATTTTAAAAGTAGTTATGAGCCAGGCACCACTGGTTTATAGCTATAATTTTAGCTGAGGATCTGAGGAGGTTGAGATGCAGAAGAGATCTGGGTTTGAAGTCAGCTTAGGTAGAAAAGTCCAAGACTTCATGTTCAAATTAACCAGCAAAAAGCTGGGCTGAAGGCATGGATTAAGTGATAGAGTACTAACTGAGCAATCAAGCTAAGCAAGCAAGAAGCCCCAAACTCCAGTACATGAAAAATAATGTAGTTATGGAGGGTAGGGTGTGTGTGGCTCAGTGGTAGAATTGGTAGAGTGCTTTACCTAGCATTTGCTAAGGTTCAATCCCTAGCATTAAAGGACAGATGAGAAGGAAGGTAGGAAGGCAGGGAGGTAGGGAAGTATGGAGGGTAGTTACTGAACTGCGATTCCATGGAGAATTGGTATAACCCTGTCAGAATCAAGCCATAATGGGTATGATTTCTCCCAATTTGAAGAAAAAAAAATTTTTCTCAATTGTTGATTTCCTTCTACAAGATTCCTTAAACCTTCAGTATCTTCTAGCAAATGTCAGTAATCAATAAGCCAATGAGAAGGAAATGTTAAAAATAATAATAGCTTTGGAAATAAGATCTGCTTCAATAAGGTTCCTTAATCTATATTCAGAGAAAGTGTTTTTTTGGGGGGGTTAATAAAACTATTTATAATTCATGTACTGATTTTCTGGTGCTTCCCAAATAATACTATGACTCCCACGAGTCATGAAAATTTCTTTTAAAGCAAACTAAGCCAGGCATGGTGGTGTGTTCTAGAAGGAAGAGGCAGGAAGATCATGAATTCTGGGCCATCCTGAGCTACAAAGTGAGATCTTATCTTACAAAATATATATAAATATAAACAAACAAACTGCTATCTAGGCCATTGGAATGGCTAGGGAGTAGTAGGCAAATGGATAAAACCAAGGGTTATGCAGGAGAATGGGTTTCTTTTTTTTTTTTTTGGTTGGTAATGGGGCTTGAACTCTGGGCCTGGGCGCTGTCCCTCAGCTCTTCAGCTCAAGGTGAGTGCTCTACCACTTGAGTCATAGCGTCACTTCTGGTTTTCTGGTGGTTAATTGGAGATAAAAGTCTCACAGACTTTTCCTGCCCAGGCTGGTTTTGAACTTCAGTCCTCAGATCTCAACCTCTTGAGTGGCTAGGATTACAGGCATAAGCCACTGGCGCCTGGCTAGGAGGATAATACACAGAAGTATTAAATGAGAAGAATCTAATGGATCTCATGCTTTAAGGCTTTTATTTTCTTGGAGAGGTTGGGTCAGAGATGGATCACGAAACTCAAGAGCCAAGGTTAGAGTAAGGACGTTGAGTAGCATAGGAAAGGGTGCTGACAAGGGTGAGTAGAAGGTTTCTGTACTTGAGCCTTGCCAAAGGCAGTAATCTCCCATTTGCAAAGTTGAGTGGTTTTCTGCAATGGGGTTCATCCATGAGTCTAGGTGCTGGGGTTGATGGTGATGGTAGTTATGCACCTGCTATATTACAGAGGTATAGAGAGGATCTGTTTGGTTCAGTCTTCATCTCTGGAATTGTGTCTGACACAATGATGATGAATAGCAAGCTTCTAATCATCTATATATGAATTTGAATTGTAGAATTGCCAATTATTTATGAGACAGTTTAGTTTAAGTGAACAGGGTGTTGAGAGAAACAAATTAGGTAATGAGAATAAAATACCTACTCTTTTAGCTTTTTCTTTTATTGGCAGAGCTGAGGACAAAACTTAGGGCCTTTACTTGATAGGCAAGTGCTTTTCCACTGAGCTAAATCCCCAACCCCCCCTAAATTCTCTTAGAACATAGCAAGTGCATAGAGATTCCAACTCATTACCCTTCCCTGGTTCAGTCTCCTGTCAACTCTTCACAAGTCCTCATCAAATCTTCCCTTTCTGTTTCTTATCTCTCAGTTTACTACCTACTGTTCTCAATTGTTCTCTCAGTGGGCTCCTAGGGGTCAATTTCACCCCCTTTTCACCACATATTCTAATATCCTTCTCTTTAACTGTCTAATAAATTAGCCAGCCATTGCCCAAATAAGAATCCATTGGCCTCAGGACAGGAGCCATGGCTCCATAGTAGAGTGTTTGCCTAGCAAGTGGGAGGCCCTGAGTTCAAACCTCAGTACCTCTCTAATATGGAGGTAGAGGTGGGGGAAGAGGTGAGGTGATGGTAACCTCAGGGTGCCTGGCCTGTGCAGTGGTGCCAGGGAGGCCTTTAGCCCAAGTATTGGTAACCACTGTGACATCAGTCATCCTTCTTCCCAGATCACCATGTTGCGGCCACACTAACCAGCACATTCCTATCTCAAGATGTCAGGACCCGTGGGCATTCTTCTAGATGTGTAGAAGTGGTTCATTCTCATCGTTCATGCCTCAGTTCAAATACCATTCCTCAGAGACGCCTTTCTTCACCATGTTATCTCCTGTAGCTCTCCTGGACATTCTGAGTTTTTCTCAGGACACTTATGACCTGCAATGGTCATTTATGGGTTTGTTTACTTTTTTATTATTTGTCTCTAACACTAGAATGTAAACTTAGGAGAGAGAAGACACATGGATCTTCATAGCTGTATTTCCAATACCTAGAACAGTGTCTGTGTGACACATGGGAGGCATTCATTCACTATTGGGAAGAAGAAAGGAAGGGAGGGAGGGAAGGAAGAGAGAGAGAGTGTGAGAGGGAGAAGCAGATTTGAGGAAAAGACTTTCAGTGATAGAATGCTGAACATTTGTTTTTTTATTGTTATTATAAAGGTGATGTACAGAGGGGTCACAGTAAACTTCTTTTTGGACAATGTCACCCCTTCCCTCACAATGTTAAGCATTACTTTAAGATGTCTGAGAGACACTCAGAAATGGCACCCCAGGCGACTTCTAGTGGGCCTCTGGAGAGCAGGAACAGGGTGACCTTACCATGAGGAAGGTGGGCCCCTATGGTACAGTGGTACAAATCTATGCTTTTGAAAGGTTGAGTGTCCGCTTGGGAATTGACTGGTGTGGAGCCCAGCCAGGAAGGGGGCCCCTTGGGGTTTGTCATGTTAAAGTCAGGTTGGAGTGATTCCCACTTCAGCTTTCTTTTCTGTTCCTGGGTCTTGCTGCTGCCCTGACTTTGGCTATTTTCCATCCTTCTTCACTGTCAACTACAAGACCCTGGAGTCAAAATGAAGATCATATCCTTTTATCTCTTTTATCTCAAAGGAGATCTCACCCATGTCCAATCCAAAGTGACGTCAGAAGCTAGACTTAGTTCCATCAGTAAAGTTGGTGGTCCAAGTGATTTCTAGTGGGCCACTGGTAGACCAGGCAGAGGGATACTTTTCATTTGTTGTTAGTACCTGCTGTATTTCTATTGGCCTTGTGGCTCCCTGCCTTCCACAGAGCACTCCATGGACCCTGAAAGCTTCCTTTTACAGGGTCTCCAGCTGCTGAGCAGCTCCAGGACATCCTGGGGGAGGAAGATGAGGCTCCCAACCCCACCCTCTTCACAGAGATGGACACTCTTCAGCATGATGGAGACCAGATGGAGTGGAAGGAGTCAGCCAGGTGAGACAAAATCCCAGGAGGGAGGTAGGAGGTAGTGGGACTTTCCCTGAAGGGTGTCCAGGGCTCAAGCTACCCTGATCCTCCTGGTGGGAGTTGGCGCCTTGAACCTTGAGTTCTTCCAGGAAGCTTAGTGATCCACAAAGACCCTCCTACCTGCCTTTCTTGGTGTCTAGAACTGTGTTAGACACAAAGGAACAGGCATAAATGACCTTGTCTTTATCTTCAAAAAATAAAAATTCAAGTGAGAAGATAGAATAGTCACCCATATGATTCTAGAAGAACAATAAGAAATACATATATACACACATACATACATACACATACATGTAACATTTAATGTTAAATGTTTTTAACTAAATGCTATAGAAAAAGGTTTCCTGGAAGAAAAAGACTGTGAGTCAGGCACACGAAGTCTGAGTGGCAGGGAAAATACAGATGCAAAGGTCTAGTGGAACACTGAAGAAAAGAGACTTGGCAAAGTTTGGAGATAGATAAACAGAGTGAGCTTCAGAGGTGTAGGCATGGAGGAAATCATGGGGAACAGAAGGAATAGGAGATCCAGAAAGCTTGAGGGAGAACCACACAGTGAAGTCACAGAAACTGACAAAGGACCTGGGCAAGGAGTTCTTGGCACTACCCATATCCCCAGTGCCTAGGACAGCACTGAAATAAACTTCTTCCCATGGGAAGGGAGGAAATTGTAAGAGCAGCAGGAAGGACTCCAGGATGATGCTGAGAAAATTTGGAAGGCAGTCTGTATTAATGTTTTACAAACTTTCTTATTGTATCTCTCCTCTCCAAGAGGAAACTATTAACTTAAAAATAAATTTAACTAGTTGGGAACTGTTAGCTCATGCCTATAATCCTAGCTACTCAGGAGGCTGAAATCTGAGGATCCATAAGTCCATGAGACTCTTTTTTTTGGGTGGGGGGGTCCGGTCGTGGGGCCTGAACTCTGGGCCTGGGCACTGTCCCTCAGCTCTTCAGCTCAAGGCTAGCGCTCTACCACTTAAGCCACAGAGCCACTTCCATTTTTTTTTCTTTTTGCTTATGCGGTGCTGAGGAATCCAGCCCAGGGACTCATGCATGCAAGGCAAGCGCTCTACCACTGAGCCACAGTGCCACTTTTCGGCTTTTTTCTTTTTGCTTATGTGGTGCTGAGGAATCGAACCCATGGCCTCATGCATGCAAGGCAAGCGCTCTACCACTGAGCCACCTTCCCAGCGCTCCATGAGTCTCTTATATCCAGTTATCCACCAAAAAGCCAGAAGTGGAGGAAGTGGAGCTGTGGCTCAAGTAGTAGAATACCGACTTTGAGCAAAAAAGCTCAGGGACAGTGCCCAGGCCCTGAGTTTAAATACTAGTACCAGCACACACACACACACACACACACACACACACACACACACACACACACACGAAAAGAAAATTAACATATTTTTAATGAGAGAAATTAAATGGAAAGTAATGAGTTTGTCAAATAGAATTGAGCTTTGGACTACTGCAAAACCTTAGTAGCTGGTGCCAGCTAACATTTTGCTCCTCTAAGAACTAGTTTCTGTTCCCTGGGAGGCAATAATGACCTTGTTGAAAATGCATGGGACTAACTCCCAGGTATGCCCAGGACTGGTTCTGCTTGAGGGCCACTCTGATACCTAGAGTCTGATAGCTCCCTCCAGGTATGTCTTGGGTTCTTTCCTCACCCATCTCCCTTCCTGGCCTCAACAATTGGTAAGAAAAGAAGGAACAGATTTCATTTCAATACCGCAAGTTTTCTTGCTTTTTCTTTCCTATGGGGGTGTCTGAGAGAAAAGTCACAGGGTGGACTAACAAAGGCCTGCAGCCCTCAGGGAACCATGAGCCCTCTGCCCTACACATGAGCCTCTGGAGCCTCTTCCCTTCAACTTGTTTATTGAACTCTGACATGATTTATAGTCTCATTTCATTCAAGCTTCTCAGCCATTTCTCTACTTGACTTCAACTTTCAGGAACTGTTTGGACTTCTAAGGTAGGATGTAGGTCTGGAGGCAATTCCATTGAAGTTGGAGATAAATGAGGACTACTGAAAAGCCTAAGACATCTACTCAGGGTTTATAGGAGGACAGACTTTTCAAATGACCAGTTTCTAATCCCAGCTATTATGGCTTAACACCTTCCAGGGGCTGGGGCCTGAAGCCACTCTCTGCTCTGGGTAAGAGTCTATTCTGCCTGAGGTGGGTGAACAGAAGGGAGGAAAGCTAAAAAGGGTCTTCTCAGAGTCCTACGACAGACATGGCCACCACAGGAATACCACAGACCAAACACACCCTATTTCTGTTCTCTCTATGAGATTCCACAGAGCCCTCTAAACTAGAGACCAATAATTGAAATGTGAACTGTAGGGTGTCTGTAGGAAGAAATGCCTATTAAATTACAGTTATCACCTTCAAGTACATAGGTTTTCCTATAAGGCAGGCTCTCTGAAGACAGTATGTGAGAAGACTCTGAAAGGGCCTCGGGGTAACTGGCTCAAATCCACATACAAGGATAGTAGGGACCAGAACTCCAAATGGCTGAACTCAATTTTAATTTCAATCAGATCCTAGAGGGGAGTAGCTGAGGGCCAATTAGGGGGCAGGAAACAGTGGGGAAGAGGGAAAGAATATATGAGGGTCTTCACATCTCTACTCCCTTTTCTATATTCTACTCTACCTTCCTGTAATCTTCTGTCCAACTAAATCTGTCTGGTTCTCAAGGTATGACCAGTTGGTCATACCTTGAGAGATGCTGGAAGAGGAACCATTGGCCTAAAAGTCTACCCTGATCTAGACGTGTATGGCTTGCCCAAGCCATACATGTAGATAAACAGCAAGAATAGAGATGACTAGCCAGACCTATTTGGGCCTATCACCCTGTCAAAAGAATGTGAAGAACTGAGAACATGTCGGTTCAAGCCTGTGTGGGAGGTGGAGATCAGAGTATTGCAGTTTGAGGCCAGCTCAGAGGTGGGAGCGGGGCTGGGGGAAGTGTATAAGACAAGATTCCATCTCAATTAATGCCTGCAGGTGGTGGTGAGAGCCTGTTAACCTAGCTATTTAGGGGAAGCTCAGTGGGTAGGCTGGATGCAGTTATTTGTGCTTGTTATCCTCAGAGACACAGGGAACACAAGCAGGATTGCAGCCCAGGCCAGCCTTAGAATAAAGCAAAGGCAAAAAGGACTGGAGGTGTGGGTCAAGTGGTAGAGCCCAGCAAGTACAGTCCCCAGTACCAACACCCCAAAGAAAAACAAAATAATAGTGTGAATCCTGTCCTCAGTTAATAGACTAGTAAACTGTAGACCCACCCCAGAGAAGCCAGACGTATCAGAATCTAAGAATCAGTAAATTCTCCTTGGGGTAACAGAAGAGAATAATGGGGAGTGGGAGACAACCTCTCACACACACATTCAAGCCCTGGGAAGTTAAGAACTCATAACACCCACATCAAAGAGAATACTTTTAATAAGAGGGGGAGCCCTTTAATAAAAAAATATTTAATTTGTTGTGGCAAGTGTTTGCTTTATTGAGTTAGGAGATTAAGCAAGTGAAAATCTCAAATCCTCAAGGAATTTTCCCTGGCAGAGTAGGGGTGGGAGGGAGTAACAGTTTGGGGGATGTTTCATTTTAGGCCCTTGGAGAAGTCAGTCCTGCTGATTTAAGTGGCTTTTTGAGTTCTGCTGAGCCTTGCCCCATGCACGTAACAAGGACTCTGTGTGCAGGGTCATTTCTAATGTGATCAATGCTGGTAGGTCAGCTGTTAATAAGATAGATTTTCACTAACACTGTCTCTTTAGCATTCCCAGGAGAGAAAAGCAGCCAGCTGTTTGCTGACAATGACCTTGCCTAAAGAGAGGGCTGGGGCAGGTAGATGTACAGGGTGCAACCCCCCTCACTGTGAGCAAACAACTTGCCCAGATTCCTGGCCTTTCTCAGGTTTGCCTGACTGTACAGAAGAATGATCCAAGTTGGAACCCACCCAAGTGTGGAGGGCTCTTTGTGGTTACTCAGGAATAAACAGAGCTTAGCACCTTCCAAAAGCTCTGAAAGCAAATTCCAAATCCAATCTTCTCTGGCCTCAACTCAGAGCAGCCCAAGAGCATAAACTTGCCAGAAGGTTCTTATGAGACACATATGAGAACATTCCTGTGATGTCAAGGTGAGGGCAGAAAGAGGAGCTTGAGAAGTGGATCATCCAGTTGGGTCAAAACAGACCAAAAGCTCTGAATGGCTCTCCATATGTAGGCAGGAACACTTTTTCACTCCATAGATGATGGAAGAGAAAGGTTCGACTTTCTCAGCCTTGAACTTGATCCCGTTTAAAATCTCATATAATGCCCTCTTGGAGTCTTCCAAGAGGAAGATCTAAAGGGTGAGTCAAAGTTAGCTCAGAGTTAGCAGACAGGGCAAAGAAGATAAACCATCACATTGAGGAACAGGCAGGCTTGTGGCCAGACTGCTGTGTAAGAGCTGATCATGCAGATCCTATGTAGGCCATGCTGTACAGATTGAATTCAATGCTAGAATTGTCAAAGGACCACTGAAGGAGTTTAGGGTAGAAAGATAATAGAGTTATGCATGTGTATGAGAGAGATTATCTGGTTTTAATGTGGAGAAAGGATGAAAAGAAGAAATGACCAGTTAGGCCAGTGTAGGGGTTGATAAATCACTAGACAAGATTTTAGCAGTAGAGAAAGAAGGAATGGATATGAGGTGCTCTTTCAGATGTAGCAGCAACAAGACTTGATGACAGATGGCATCTGCAGGTGGGTAACCAGGGAGATACTCAGGTTTCTTTAACCTTAGCAAGTAGGTACCTCATAGTAGTAGTTTTAGAAACACAAACGAGTGCCAAGTTTTGATGTGTTTGGTAATTTTGTTTTATTTTGGCTGGCTTATAATGAATCCCATTTCTTGGAGGTTATGTTTGAGGAAACCCTCAGTGATATCTAGCAGGTTATCACATTGCCATCAAGGTATGATGTT